CAGTATTTCTCACAACAGACCAGAACAATTAGTAACAACCTAATTCATATCTACAAAAAATTCCAGCACAAACTGAACACTATCTGTTGATATCAATACGCACCATTGTTCAAGTACTTGCATTTTGTAAAACAGATGAAAATAAGAATCCTTTAGTGTCCGACCAAATACCACAAAATAAAAGCCAGCTCACTCAGGCAGGCCAAAGGCTGCATGCTTTGGTGGGTAGTTGTGTGTGGAGGAGTAGAATGCATCATATTTCAATCCTTATCAAAAGAAATTAAATCACCACACACACCCATTCAACAACTAAGATAAGAAATGACCAATTGAAAGATAGCCCGAAGAAGCAACAGATGAATGAGGAAGAAGAACATTCCACAGTTAATAAAGAAAATAAAAGGGGTTTATTATATATATATATATATATATATATATATATATATATATATATATATATATATATATATATATATATATATATATATATATATATATATATATAGGGAATTGCTAGAATGAGAATGAGAATATGAGAAAACCACTTAAAAGTTGGCACATGTCCCACTTCCTAATTTTTTAAAAAGCAAATATTCGTTTCTTATGTACTTTATACTTTGTACTTTATAAGGGATACGTGGCAGTTTTTAACTGGCTTTCTCATATTCTCATTCCTCATTCTAGCAAATCCCTATATATATATATATATATATTATTTTTTCAATTACCTTGAGTAGAAATCATTGATTAGCTCTCTAATCTCTGGAACCAATTCCAAAAAATTTCTGTAGTTGAGGTTGTCAATAACTTTATTCTGCAAGATACCAAGTATAAAAAATAACACTCTAATAGTAGCAAACATGAAAACATGAATTATCAGAAAGACAGATGTTCACTACATGCCTTGAGTTCAGTTCGATCAAATGTAGCAAGTGCACAGAGTCCACCATAGGTTGCAACATCTTGTGGTGCAATCACTTCAGAATAATTATTACCCAACTCAGGACCAACTTCTAAGAACTGCAATAACATCAGCGCGTCAACATAGAGAACTTGCTAAGCAAGCAGCAAAGTTTTGCCAAATATGCATGATAAGACCTAAAATACCATGTGTGCAAATTAGCAGTCAGAATGTCAGACAAGGACGCCAATAACAATGCAGGAAGAAGAATATTACAACTTGATATAAACATCACAGATCTGCTTTAGAATGAGCAAACTTCAGAAAGAAATGAATTCAGATAAGACCAACCAAACACCAAGAAAACTGTAGGGGGGAAAACTAGTCATAAATCATCACCAAAAAAAAAAAAAAAAAAAAAAAAAAAAAGAACAAATTATCCACTATTATAATGATTCATTCATAACAAAACTTCCACATTAACCATCTTGTCTTGGCACACCAAAGAATTAGTGAATTACACAATACCGCACTAAACCTATCAGATGTTTTGCTTGTCTTGTCACGAGATTCCTCAGATTTAGGCACATCTAAACTTCTAATCCATCCATAAGCACTAATTTTTTTTTTTTTTAAAAAAAAAAAAAAAAAAAAACTAAGCATTGTGGCACCTTTCTACCTCAGCCATTTCATTCAACGCCTAGACATAAAATAATTCAACAACACAACAATGAACAAAAATTAATTTGGAAATCAGACTTTTATAACCAAGAATAGCTAAACTCAATAGTTATATCTTTCCATGTGACTGTTTGACTACACTATCTACATCCCTCCTGAATCCAGAGTGATGGAAGGCAGAGGTTTAAATAAATAAGCAGTACTGCAAAAGAACTTTCAAAAGCAATTGCTCCCTTTTAATAAAGAGACTAGAGAAAACAAACCTTGCGGGCAGCAAGTTTGTATTTTTTAGCCTCTAAGTGAGCCAATCCAGCTGCGCAACGAAGTTTCGCAATAGTGACAGGGTCTAGAGCCTCTGGTGTCTGTTCTGCTTTGCTTATATAGCTTGTAACATGTGAAAACTGACCCATCTCAATACTGACAAGAATTGCATTTAAACACATGGTGATAATATGTTTTGCAGTGGTGCAGTAATCACGAGTGCGAACGTAGCTCTTGAAGGCATCCCCAAACTGTCCATGAGCATAATAAAAATCGCCAAAATCATTGTATCCCATCCTAATGCTTTCTTTAATCAAATTTGTCTGCACAAACAAAAGGCCATAGAATTAGCATAAGCCAAAAGGAAGAAACAAAATAACTAGCCAGTAATTAGATAAAGATCTCTGTTATATAAGAAGTGCACCTGGAGAGCTTAAATCAGTTTTGTACTAGAATGAAAAATCTAAATGCAAGTCGACAGGATAACCAATCAATTTCTCTCAAAAAAAAGGATAACCAATCAATTATACAACTAAATAACTGTATCAAACAAAACAAATCATTGTTTCGAGCTGTCCTAGTACATAAAGTTATAAACTTCATCCAGATTTTGTACAAAGTTCGAAGCTATAAACACCAACATATGAAAAAGCATTTGAAAAAGGCATAAGAAAATCTTAGACCTCCATTGATTCACAAACTTACAGAAGGCAAAATTTAGAAAAGACAACATACAAAAAAAAAAACTATTAGTCACTTAATAGAAAAAGTACTCCGTATAACACAAGGGCTCAAAACTGATCCACATGTCCAATAACATCTTATCAGATTCGGATTAATTGACTAGTTAAGAATTCACCATTCACAAAAGCCCATCTCAAAATGGACAGATGGAACTAGATAGAGGACACGGCACACGCTCATTTCTCCTACCTCCACCATCCCACCAGCAATAAATCCCTAATCTATCACATTTTCTTCTAAAAGCTTTATGGAACAGCACCAATCTCAAACATTTATTACAAAATGAATCAATAAGCCCATTACTAATTAAAGAACTCAATTGTGAACCTCCTCAAGTCAAACTAGCAACGACTAGCAACTGGAATAAAACAAAAACCAATTATCAACGAAACTAAAATAAAAGGCGCAACTACATGTTCAACAAAATAATAAAAATCCAACTTTATAACAGCAATCAAACCTCCTTTGACACGAGTATTGCACAAGCCAAACCTAAGGTCCATAAATACCAAAGCTCCACAGACTATAGGTCTATAGCCCTAACCAAAGCAATGCTTTTCTCGCAATTGCTCGTAATTACAAAGTCTCTCCATCCTATCATTCAGAAGCATTTCTCCAATCCCTCCTTGAGGTATAAGTAATAGGTTACTTCTAGATAATTATAAACTTTGTACACCCTAACCAACCACAAAGGCACAAAGCATACCACCAAGAAACCGCAACAACCACCCTAAGTCCCTCACTACCGAGGTCCCGGGAATCGAATTATAACCATTACTTCATCATTACAACCTCACACAGTCATACATTAACTTCTAAGAACACAGTCACACACTCCCCCCCAACCCAAAATTCCCAATCACACAAATTTATAATTCAACATTCCAAATACATAAACCTAATCATAACATATTCATCAATCAAAAAATCAATTCACAATTCCAAAACAAAAAACACAAAATCATACCCTATAAGCATTGAGTTCATTATCAAGCTTCTCCTTCCTCTGCTCAGCACGACGCTCAACAGCCTCAATCCAGGAAGAATCATAGCCATAATTAGGCCCTAATCGATTATCAATCCTCTGCGCCGCTTCCTTAAACAACTGTGTATCCTCACCCTTTTTGATTTCATCATACGCCATTCTTAGGGCTTCGAGCTGCATCGAAGGGTTACTATCGCATCGATCAGCGATGAATAATAGCCGCATGATCTTCGTCCTACCAGAGTAGAGAGAAGCGTAGGCTTCAACGTCGAGTTGTTCTCCGCTGCTTATGATTGGTTTGTGAGGCTGCTTATCGTCACCGTTGGCGTAGATCTCGTCCATCATCTGACCTGAACTTGTTTCTTCGTCGTTCTCCATTGATGAATTTGGGGATTTTCTGGAATGAGAAAAACCCTAGCGATCAATTTGGGGGTGAGGATGAGAGAGAAAGGGGTTTTAGCGAGAAATTGAGTTTTTGTGTTCTTGTGTTTCTCGGTTTACAGAAAGTGTGGAGTTCTACATCTACAATTGAGGAGAAACACGGTGAGCTCTTTGGGCTGGAGTAAAAAGATTACACCACGTCAGACGTGTAACCTTTTGAGTCAAGTCGATACTAGATCTGTCAAAAATTAATACTCGTATGTCTCAATCTAATTTGAAAGTAACCCAATTTAAATTTTGACTTATATAGATGCAGTGATTTTGCATGACCCAAACCCAAATAAGATTTGATCTAAAAAGACCTGACCTAATTCATCCTAATCAGCCGTATTGACACCTATACTTGTGACAAGCTACAATCCAACACGAAGTACAGAGTGAATATTGGAATTAGTATCAAAATTTTAAACAAATTCAAATTGAGCTGAAGTTTATTTGGATAAAAAATACCGGGATCACTAGGAATTTATCAAAGTTAAAGATTATTATTATTATTATTATTATAAGTTAGAGTTAGAATTTTTCAGTATTTATATGTCATCACTGATTTAATTTTTTTACCAATATATAATATATAAATATGATTATATAATATGTTGCTGGATTTGCCATAATGTCTACTTTTATAAATTAATTTTTTCATAATTTTTACTAACCTCTAATTGAAGATATTAATGGTCAAAATTGTATCTCGACAAATGTGCAAATCCAACTCTAGCTTATAGAAAAAACAGAGGGAATATAATGGAAATGAAAATTGTTAAATTAATGGACTCTTTTACTTGTTTAATGAAGATTTATATTAATCAATTGTCCTTTTCTATTAAGGATAGGTGAAGTTGAGACAATTTATCTTATGAAGGAAGCCCTATATATGGCAAATTTTATTACAAGAAGCATTTTCTACTTATAGCAAAGAAATGGAGGGAACTTATAGTCAAAAACTCTTTTCAAAATTATCAATGACAAATAACAAGAACGTCCATGAACAAATTCATTTTTGTCAATAAACTTAAGAGATAATATATCATTTTAATCAAGAAAAATATAATAGTTTGACATTTTCATACACTTGAAACGATCACAGAAGAGGTTTTACCTGTGAATTTTTTAACTCTATAAATCAATCAATTACAACAATAATAAAAGAATTAAGATATACTATATGTTTATCGTCTATGAATTTCAACTAAAATTGATCGGGGGTAAAACTAGTGAGTATATTGGTAGTAGTATCTTCCTTTTCCTCCACCAATAGTCACATTTCACCAAAGAAGTGGTGGATATTGAGATGATGTTGGGATTCAGATGAGTCTTGACTCTTGAGAGTGGACGACCTAGAGACTTGAGTATGTTTCCAAAGAAAGGTTACTCCAAAAAAAAAAAAAAAAAAAAAAAAAAAACTTACAAAAGAATCGGTTGCCAAAATGAACAAAAGAAAGGGGTATAAAACCTAAGATTTGGACCTTAATAATCTCTAAGAATCAGTTTGGGCAGGTGCAGGAGCTGTCCAATATTGTTTAACAGCAACCATGACCTTCTCTCTTTGCATTGGACCTTCCTCATGATCATATATTATGCTATCCCATTGCATTTCGTCGATGTTAGTTTTCACCTTCACTAAAACATCAATGTCATCTCTGAATATTACACAACCTTCGGGTCTTAAAATCCTGTCCATCTCTAATAGAATGTCTTCCATCTTACACCTACAGCATATTTTCGTGATCACGAAGTTTAATCAGCTACTTAAATAAGCTAATTAAAAGATAATTGGATCATTATAAAGATAAAAACATTACCTGCCATCATAAAGGCTAAATACAGAATCAGCATGTAACAAATCATATGTTCTTGGATAAGTAGACATTGCCTCACACCTAGCAGAAAGATGCAAAGTGAAATCATTAGTAGTGAGCTTTATGTAGTTTTTGGAGTAAATTTTTTTTATGCGCAAGTATATGCAAGTAAAAGTAATACGGAGTACTCGATTACTCGTACATAAGCAAGAGGCAAAGATGACCTAAGACCAAAATGGTCTAAAACTACTGAAACGTGGTCACACCAACACCAGCACAAACCTAGACCGAGCCATATAAGACCAGTTCTTACAAGAAGTCTCAAGGAAAACTTTGTTACAAGAACAAATACTGGACTTACCAGCTTTGGTATGTACCAATAAGACCACGTTCGAAGACTACTCCAAGAGTATTAACCCTGGCCTCAACAGGGACAACATTCATAACCCAAACAGGGTCATTGACAAGGGCAGCTGCAAAGCCTCCCAAGTTCGCGTTCATGTCAAGGAGATTGCGATACCTCCCTGGATCATTTAGTGCATTGTTCAAGGACTTGTAGTATGCTAATCTCTCCTTCCAAATCACGGTGTCTTTTGTGAAAACATCAGGTATTATTCCCTCCAAGCTACCACTACTCACCCTTGGAGGAATTGCGGTTAGTCTAGCTGGCCATTTCGCTCTTTCCCCTCCTGCTATTTCAGTTATGTTAGAGACTGGAGGGAGTGGAGTTAGACAGTCCTCCATTTTTGTATACCTGCATTAAATTTTGTAAGAACCTAAGTAACCAATCAAATTGTATGAACTTTAGTAATACTTAAAAAAAAAACTCGTGTGCAACCCAAATGAAAAGGAGGGAGTATATCAGTATATGATTATAGGTAACAGGCTAGACTATGGGGTAAAGGATCGTATACATACCATGCAAGATCAGGATCTTGAGCCTTACAAAATCGCGGTTTCTTAAAAACCTTGCGGCTCTTCTTGCAGTGTTCATGATTATAAGGTTTCTGCCATACTGCAATATCCCCTCTTTGCTTCAGTTTTTTCCAACAAAGGCTTTTAGCAACAGCTTCAATGGTGTTTTGTTCAGAGCTCAAATCTTCCTTGCTTCTCTCCCAACCTTGCCAATGACCCTCCCAGTTGATGGGTGGCCCGGAAAGGATCCAGTAGCCTCCAGGCCGTAGGATCCTGTCCACTTCGATCAAGTAAAGTCCATCTGCTCGTTCAAAGCAGTGATTAATTAGCTCATGAATGTGTAGAATATCATGAAAACATGTACACTCACATACTGACATACACACATATACAAAGTCATCAGTCATGAACACACATTAATACATTATAGACATCAATTTATAACAGAACTTGCAATATGTGTCATGACAATGCAAAGTCGAATTTTTGGAGAGAAATTTGAACATGACACTTATACACAAGATAACATGAATGAATCCTATATGAGTTACTCGGTAAGACAAAATCATATAATGTACTCCGTAACAATAATAATGTTATGTAACAATCCTATACTGGTATGAAAACAAACACGTATCACAATTAAAGACATCAATGGCAAATGCAGCTCATAAAAACAGAATCCGATATGATGTTAAGTTACCATATTGACCCCAAGGGATAAGGCAGCGCGAACAATGAGCCATGTCAAAAGATCTCGAAGGGTAAGGAAGGCGGGTGGTAGCCATGATCCCTATCAATGCCGGCACACCTCTCTCAAGGGCAAATTGAACCTGAGCTTCATGTGTGTCTTTTGGAGCAAATGACACTGTTAGGATGTTGCGTGACAAAAGGTAAGCTCCAAAACTTGCAACCTTCAAATATATTACCCAAAAATAATCCTCAATAAGTCATTATTCACATCTCCTAAACTATTGCTTATTGTTTAACTTCCACCACTCACATTTTTTCATTATCCACAATTCGCACAATCTCCATAACTTTAATTACATACTAATTTAAATATTTTGAATCTCAGTTTGTTGTTAAATCACGTGAATAATAAATAGCACGAAAAAACAGAGGGAGTATAATAATTCGTAGCTGGACCATATGAGGTCAGGCTACTAACTACTCCTATGTGATTGTGAGATATATTTTGCTTCAATCTTCTCCCTTAGTCAAAGCCATTAAACGACATTATAGTTTATTCATCTTGTGAAGAGTGGTTAGCTTAAAAATGGTTAAATTCCAAGATTTGAAAATAATTATAAGGAAGATGTATTGTACAATACATTATAATAATGGTCATCAATGTATATAAAACAGTATCGATTATGACAATATTAACAATTAATCAAAGTTGTTAGCCGTAATTTTGTTGTAGCTATCATAATTTTCTAAGTTTTTCTTTGATTTATAATTTAAAAGTGTACAAATGGCAAAATTTGTGAAGTTCAACTTACACTATTACATGCACAAACAGAGGTGGAATCTATACTTTGCTGACAAGTTATGGTCCCCTTTCCTATCTAACGCATGAAAGACAATGACAAACTTACAGATGTCTTTTTAGAAATTCTAATTTATTAAGCTCTCATTTTCTTAGCAATATTATCTCTCTTTTTTTTAATAACTTTCACAAAAATTTCCACTTTGATTTCGTATAATTGTTATTACCCAAGAGTCCAAGACATCTAATTAAGTGAAGGAGAAAGAACATTCTTTAAAGCATAAAATACATTATAATTAAATTTAGTAATGCCTCTCGTGATTATGCTACTTGGATCAGTTGTATGTATTTACAAAGCATTTTAGTTTATTTTCTTCTCATCATCACTTGATACTTGGTAATATGGTATGATTTAAAGTTGGGCACGGTTAGATAATTATAATTACTCGGTTTGATAGTACATTGTATTGTGATTATTAATTTCAAACATAGGGAGTATATTAGATTTATTTAAAAGATCTATATTAATGATTTAATGGCACTTGTTATCATCCAATAATTTATCATCATTGAATATAAACTAAAAATAAATAAAAATTATTTAGAGATCAATAAAAGTGATGTAGGCTAAGCTAGACAAGTCTTGGAGACTTGGACTATGCTATAATCAGTATTTCTCACAACAGACCAGAACAATTAGTAACAACCTAATTCATATCTACAAAAAATTCCAGCACAAACTGAACACTATCTGTTGATATCAATACGCACCATTGTTCAAGTACTTGCATTTTGTAAAACAGATGAAAATAAGAATCCTTTAGTGTCCGACCAAATACCACAAAATAAAAGCCAGCTCACTCAGGCAGGCCAAAGGCTGCATGCTTTGGTGGGTAGTTGTGTGTGGAGGAGTAGAATGCATCATATTTCAATCCTTATCAAAAGAAATTAAATCACCACACACACCCATTCAACAACTAAGATAAGAAATGACCAATTGAAAGATAGCCCGAAGAAGCAACAGATGAATGAGGAAGAAGAACATTCCACAGTTAATAAAGAAAATAAAAGGGGTTTATTATATATATATATATATATATATATATATATATATATATATATATATATATATATATATATATATATATATAGGGAATTGCTAGAATGAGAATGAGAATATGAGAAAACCACTTAAAAGTTGGCACATGTCCCACTTCCTAATTTTTTAAAAAGCAAATATTCGTTTCTTATGTACTTTATACTTTGTACTTTATAAGGGATACGTGGCAGTTTTTAACTGGCTTTCTCATATTCTCATTCCTCATTCTAGCAAATCCCTATATATATATATATATATATATTATTTTTTCAATTACCTTGAGTAGAAATCATTGATTAGCTCTCTAATCTCTGGAACCAATTCCAAAAAATTTCTGTAGTTGAGGTTGTCAATAACTTTATTCTGCAAGATACCAAGTATAAAAAATAACACTCTAATAGTAGCAAACATGAAAACATGAATTATCAGAAAGACAGATGTTCACTACATGCCTTGAGTTCAGTTCGATCAAATGTAGCAAGTGCACAGAGTCCACCATAGGTTGCAACATCTTGTGGTGCAATCACTTCAGAATAATTATTACCCAACTCAGGACCAACTTCTAAGAACTGCAATAACATCAGCGCGTCAACATAGAGAACTTGCTAAGCAAGCAGCAAAGTTTTGCCAAATATGCATGATAAGACCTAAAATACCATGTGTGCAAATTAGCAGTCAGAATGTCAGACAAGGACGCCAATAACAATGCAGGAAGAAGAATATTACAACTTGATATAAACATCACAGATCTGCTTTAGAATGAGCAAACTTCAGAAAGAAATGAATTCAGATAAGACCAACCAAACACCAAGAAAACTGTAGGGGGGAAAACTAGTCATAAATCATCACCAAAAAAAAAAAAAAAAAAAAAAAAAAAAGAACAAATTATCCACTATTATAATGATTCATTCATAACAAAACTTCCACATTAACCATCTTGTCTTGGCACACCAAAGAATTAGTGAATTACACAATACCGCACTAAACCTATCAGATGTTTTGCTTGTCTTGTCACGAGATTCCTCAGATTTAGGCACATCTAAACTTCTAATCCATCCATAAGCACTAATTTTTTTTTTTTTTAAAAAAAAAAAAAAAAAAACTAAGCATTGTGGCACCTTTCTACCTCAGCCATTTCATTCAACGCCTAGACATAAAATAATTCAACAACACAACAATGAACAAAAATTAATTTGGAAATCAGACTTTTATAACCAAGAATAGCTAAACTCAATAGTTATATCTTTCCATGTGACTGTTTGACTACACTATCTACATCCCTCCTGAATCCAGAGTGATGGAAGGCAGAGGTTTAAATAAATAAGCAGTACTGCAAAAGAACTTTCAAAAGCAATTGCTCCCTTTTAATAAAGAGACTAGAGAAAACAAACCTTGCGGGCAGCAAGTTTGTATTTTTTAGCCTCTAAGTGAGCCAATCCAGCTGCGCAACGAAGTTTCGCAATAGTGACAGGGTCTAGAGCCTCTGGTGTCTGTTCTGCTTTGCTTATATAGCTTGTAACATGTGAAAACTGACCCATCTCAATACTGACAAGAATTGCATTTAAACACATGGTGATAATATGTTTTGCAGTGGTGCAGTAATCACGAGTGCGAACGTAGCTCTTGAAGGCATCCCCAAACTGTCCATGAGCATAATAAAAATCGCCAAAATCATTGTATCCCATCCTAATGCTTTCTTTAATCAAATTTGTCTGCACAAACAAAAGGCCATAGAATTAGCATAAGCCAAAAGGAAGAAACAAAATAACTAGCCAGTAATTAGATAAAGATCTCTGTTATATAAGAAGTGCACCTGGAGAGCTTAAATCAGTTTTGTACTAGAATGAAAAATCTAAATGCAAGTCGACAGGATAACCAATCAATTTCTCTCAAAAAAAAGGATAACCAATCAATTATACAACTAAATAACTGTATCAAACAAAACAAATCATTGTTTCGAGCTGTCCTAGTACATAAAGTTATAAACTTCATCCAGATTTTGTACAAAGTTCGAAGCTATAAACACCAACATATGAAAAAGCATTTGAAAAAGGCATAAGAAAATCTTAGACCTCCATTGATTCACAAACTTACAGAAGGCAAAATTTAGAAAAGACAACATACAAAAAAAAAAACTATTAGTCACTTAATAGAAAAAGTACTCCGTATAACACAAGGGCTCAAAACTGATCCACATGTCCAATAACATCTTATCAGATTCGGATTAATTGACTAGTTAAGAATTCACCATTCACAAAAGCCCATCTCAAAATGGACAGATGGAACTAGATAGAGGACACGGCACACGCTCATTTCTCCTACCTCCACCATCCCACCAGCAATAAATCCCTAATCTATCACATTTTCTTCTAAAAGCTTTATGGAACAGCACCAATCTCAAACATTTATTACAAAATGAATCAATAAGCCCATTACTAATTAAAGAACTCAATTGTGAACCTCCTCAAGTCAAACTAGCAACGACTAGCAACTGGAATAAAACAAAAACCAATTATCAACGAAACTAAAATAAAAGGCGCAACTACATGTTCAACAAAATAATAAAAATCCAACTTTATAACAGCAATCAAACCTCCTTTGACACGAGTATTGCACAAGCCAAACCTAAGGTCCATAAATACCAAAGCTCCACAGACTATAGGTCTATAGCCCTAACCAAAGCAATGCTTTTCTCGCAATTGCTCGTAATTACAAAGTCTCTCCATCCTATCATTCAGAAGCATTTCTCCAATCCCTCCTTGAGGTATAAGTAATAGGTTACTTCTAGATAATTATAAACTTTGTACACCCTAACCAACCACAAAGGCACAAAGCATACCACCAAGAAACCGCAACAACCACCCTAAGTCCCTCACTACCGAGGTCCCGGGAATCGAATTATAACCATTACTTCATCATTACAACCTCACACAGTCATACATTAACTTCTAAGAACACAGTCACACACTCCCCCCCAACCCAAAATTCCCAATCACACAAATTTATAATTCAACATTCCAAATACATAAACCTAATCATAACATATTCATCAATCAAAAAATCAATTCACAATTCCAAAACAAAAAACACAAAATCATACCCTATAAGCATTGAGTTCATTATCAAGCTTCTCCTTCCTCTGCTCAGCACGACGCTCAACAGCCTCAATCCAGGAAGAATCATAGCCATAATTAGGCCCTAATCGATTATCAATCCTCTGCGCCGCTTCCTTAAACAACTGTGTATCCTCACCCTTTTTGATTTCATCATACGCCATTCTTAGGGCTTCGAGCTGCATCGAAGGGTTACTATCGCATCGATCAGCGATGAATAATAGCCGCATGATCTTCGTCCTACCAGAGTAGAGAGAAGCGTAGGCTTCAACGTCGAGTTGTTCTCCGCTGCTTATGATTGGTTTGTGAGGCTGCTTATCGTCACCGTTGGCGTAGATCTCGTCCATCATCTGACCTGAACTTGTTTCTTCGTCGTTCTCCATTGATGAATTTGGGGATTTTCTGGAATGAGAAAAACCCTAGCGATCAATTTGGGGGTGAGGATGAGAGAGAAAGGGGTTTTAGCGAGAAATTGAGTTTTTGTGTTCTTGTGTTTCTCGGTTTACAGAAAGTGTGGAGTTCTACATCTACAATTGAGGAGAAACACGGTGAGCTCTTTGGGCTGGAGTAAAAAGATTACACCACGTCAGACGTGTAACCTTTTGAGTCAAGTCGATACTAGATCTGTCAAAAATTAATACTCCGTATGTCTCAATCTAATTTGAAAGTAACCCAATTTAAATTTTGACTTATATAGATGCAGTGATTTTGCATGACCCAAACCCAAATAAGATTTGATCTAAAAAGACCTGACCTAATTCATCCTAATCAGCCGTATTGACACCTATACTTGTGACAAGCTACAATCCAACACGAAGTACAGAGTGAATATTGGAATTAGTATCAAAATTTTAAACAAATTCAAATTGAGCTGAAGTTTATTTGGATAAAAAATACCGGGATCACTAGGAATTTATCAAAGTTAAAGATTATTATTATTATTATTATTATAAGTTAGAGTTAGAATTTTTCAGTATTTATATGTCATCACTGATTTAATTTTTTTACCAATATATAATATATAAATATGATTATATAATATGTTGCTGGATTTGCCATAATGTCTACTTTTATAAATTAATTTTTTCATAATTTTTACTAACCTCTAATTGAAGATATTAATGGTCAAAATTGTATCTCGACAAATGTGCAAATCCAACTCTAGCTTATAGAAAAAACAGAGGGAATATAATGGAAATGAAAATTGTTAAATTAATGGACTCTTTTACTTGTTTAATGAAGATTTATATTAATCAATTGTCCTTTTCTATTAAGGATAGGTGAAGTTGAGACAATTTATCTTATGAAGGAAGCCCTATATATGGCAAATTTTATTACAAGAAGCATTTTCTACTTATAGCAAAGAAATGGAGGGAACTTATAGTCAAAAACTCTTTTCAAAATTATCAATGACAAATAACAAGAACGTCCATGAACAAATTCATTTTTGTCAATAAACTTAAGAGATAATATATCATTTTAATCAAGAAAAATATAATAGTTTGACATTTTCATACACTTGAAACGATCACAGAAGAGGTTTTACCTGTGAATTTTTTAACTCTATAAATCAATCAATTACAACAATAATAAAAGAATTAAGATATACTATATGTTTATCGTCTATGAATTTCAACTAAAATTGATCGGGGGTAAAACTAGTGAGTATATTGGTAGTAGTATCTTCCTTTTCCTCCACCAATAGTCACATTTCACCAAAGAAGTGGTGGATATTGAGATGATGTTGGGATTCAGATGAGTCTTGACTCTTGAGAGTGGACGACCTAGAGACTTGAGTATGTTTCCAAAGAAAGGTTACTCCAAAAAAAAAAAAAAAAAAAAAAAAAAAACTTACAAAAGAATCGGTTGCCAAAATGAACAAAAGAAAGGGGTATAAAACCTAAGATTTGGACCTTAATAATCTCTAAGAATCAGTTTGGGCAGGTGCAGGAGCTGTCCAATATTGTTTAACAGCAACCATGACCTTCTCTCTTTGCATTGGACCTTCCTCATGATCATATATTATGCTATCCCATTGCATTTCGTCGATGTTAGTTTTCACCTTCACTAAAACATCAATGTCATCTCTGAATATTACACAACCTTCGGGTCTTAAAATCCTGTCCATCTCTAATAGAATGTCTTCCATCTTACACCTACAGCATATTTTCGTGATCACGAAGTTTAATCAGCTACTTAAATAAGCTAATTAAAAGATAATTGGATCATTATAAAGATAAAAACATTACCTGCCATCATAAAGGCTAAATACAGAATCAGCATGTAACAAATCATATGTTCTTGGATAAGTAGACATTGCCTCACACCTAGCAGAAAGATGCAAAGTGAAATCATTAGTAGTGAGCTTTATGTAGTTTTTGGAGTAAATTTTTTTTATGCGCAAGTATATGCAAGTAAAAGTAATACGGAGTACTCGATTACTCGTACATAAGCAAGAGGCAAAGATGACCTAAGACCAAAATGGTCTAAAACTACTGAAACGTGGTCACACCAACACCAGCACAAACCTAGACCGAGCCATATAAGACCAGTTCTTACAAGAAGTCTCAAGGAAAACTTTGTTACAAGAACAAATACTGGACTTACCAGCTTTGGTATGTACCAATAAGACCACGTTCGAAGACTACTCCAAGAGTATTAACCCTGGCCTCAACAGGGACAACATTCATAACCCAAACAGGGTCATTGACAAGGGCAGCTGCAAAGCCTCCCAAGTTCGCGTTCATGTCAAGGAGATTGCGATACCTCCCTGGATCATTTAGTGCATTGTTCAAGGACTTGTAGTATGCTAATCTCTCCTTCCAAATCACGGTGTCTTTTGTGAAAACATCAGGTATTATTCCCTCCAAGCTACCACTACTCACCCTTGGAGGAATTGCGGTTAGTCTAGCTGGCCATTTCGCTCTTTCCCCTCCTGCTATTTCAGTTATGTTAGAGACTGGAGGGAGTGGAGTTAGACAGTCCTCCATTTTTGTATACCTGCATTAAATTTTGTAAGAACCTAAGTAACCAATCAAATTGTATGAACTTTAGTAATACTTAAAAAAAAAACTCGTGTGCAACCCAAATGAAAAGGAGGGAGTATATCAGTATATGATTATAGGTAACAGGCTAGACTATGGGGTAAAGGATCGTATACATACCATGCAAGATCAGGATCTTGAGCCTTACAAAATCGCGGTTTCTTAAAAACCTTGCGGCTCTTCTTGCAGTGTTCATGATTATAAGGTTTCTGCCATACTGCAATATCCCCTCTTTGCTTCAGTTTTTTCCAACAAAGGCTTTTAGCAACAGCTTCAATGGTGTTTTGTTCAGAGCTCAAATCTTCCTTGCTTCTCTCCCAACCTTGCCAATGACCCTCCCAGTTGATGGGTGGCCCGGAAAGGATCCAGTAGCCTCCAGGCCGTAGGATCCTGTCCACTTCGATCAAGTAAAGTCCATCTGCTCGTTCAAAGCAGTGATTAATTAGCTCATGAATGTGTAGAATATCATGAAAACATGTACACTCACATACTGACATACACACATATACAAAGTCATCAGTCATGAACACACATTAATACATTATAGACATCAATTTATAACAGAACTTGCAATATGTGTCATGACAATGCAAAGTCGAATTTTTGGAGAGAAATTTGAACATGACACTTATACACAAGATAACATGAATGAATCCTATATGAGTTACTCGGTAAGACAAAATCATATAATGTACTCCGTAACAATAATAATGTTATGTAACAATCCTATACTGGTATGAAAACAAACACGTATCACAATTAAAGACATCAATGGCAAATGCAGCTCATAAAAACAGAATCCGATATGATGTTAAGTTACCATATTGACCCCAAGGGATAAGGCAGCGCGAACAATGAGCCATGTCAAAAGATCTCGAAGGGTAAGGAAGGCGGGTGGTAGCCATGATCCCTATCAATGCCGGCACACCTCTCTCAAGGGCAAATTGAACCTGAGCTTCATGTGTGTCTTTTGGAGCAAATGACACTGTTAGGATGTTGCGTGACAAAAGGTAAGCTCCAAAACTTGCAACCTTCAAATATATTACCCAAAAATAATCCTCAATAAGTCATTATTCACATCTCCTAAACTATTGCTTATTGTTTAACTTCCACCACTCACATTTTTTCATTATCCACAATTCGCACAATCTCCATAACTTTAATTACATACTAATTTAAATATTTTGAATCTCAGTTTGTTGTTAAATCACGTGAATAATAAATAGCACGAAAAAACAGAGGGAGTATAATAATTCGTAGCTGGACCATATGAGGTCAGGCTACTAACTACTCCTATGTGATTGTGAGATATATTTTGCTTCAATCTTCTCCCTTAGTCAAAGCCATTAAACGACATTATAGTTTATTCATCTTGTGAAGAGTGGTTAGCTTAAAAATGGTTAAATTCCAAGATTTGAAAATAATTATAAGGAAGATGTATTGTACAATACATTATAATAATGGTCATCAATGTATATAAAACAGTATCGATTATGACAATATTAACAATTAATCAAAGTTGTTAGCCGTAATTTTGTTGTAGCTATCATAATTTTCTAAGTTTTTCTTTGATTTATAATTTAAAAGTGTACAAATGGCAAAATTTGTGAAGTTCAACTTACACTATTACATGCACAAACAGAGGTGGAATCTATACTTTGCTGACAAGTTATGGTCCCCTTTCCTATCTAACGCATGAAAGACAATGACAAACTTACAGATGTCTTTTTAGAAATTCTAATTTATTAAGCTCTCATTTTCTTAGCAATATTATCTCTCTTTTTTTTAATAACTTTCACAAAAATTTCCACTTTGATTTCGTATAATTGTTATTACCCAAGAGTCCAAGACATCTAATTAAGTGAAGGAGAAAGAACATTCTTTAAAGCATAAAATACATTATAATTAAATTTAGTAATGCCTCTCGTGATTATGCTACTTGGATCAGTTGTATGTATTTACAAAGCATTTTAGTTTATTTTCTTCTCATCATCACTTGATACTTGGTAATATGGTATGATTTAAAGTTGGGCACGGTTAGATAATTATAATTACTCGGTTTGATAGTACATTGTATTGTGATTATTAATTTCAAACATAGGGAGTATATTAGATTTATTTAAAAGATCTATATTAATGATTTAATGGTACTTGTTATCATCCAATAATTTATCATCATTGAATATAAACTAAAAATAAATAAAAATTATTTAGAGATCAATAAAAGTGATGTAGGCTAAGCTAGACAAGTCTTGGAGACTTGGACTATGCTATAAGATATTAATCCTCTAAACTAATTGACATCCATTGTCCACAAGGTCATTGTAACTCAAAATGAT